TATTTAATATGAATAGAAGATATAAGGTAACATTCAGCAGAGACCACGCCTGCATGGCCGAGCCATGCAACTCGATCAACTCCAGTCCATTCCATTCATTGTTCGCGCCTTCTCCATTGTTAGGTATTTATCCGCGTTAAATATTGAATATCTATTTTCTGAGTAGTCTCGTGTTCAGCTTTGTGGATTGTGCGGTTATTGTTCAATGACACTACAAGTCCACTAAAACATATGGTCAGCATCCAATGTCGAAAATATAGAGCTATTTATTTTGGGGATTTATTTGCCGCTACACAGCAAACTTGATTTCAATCGCAAATGGTAGTAGATTCCGGTTTCCAGAATTTAATGCACCACATTGTTGCATCGACGTAGAAAACTTCGGACTGATGTGGGGAGTTCCGAAATGTGCCCCCAAAAATGTCCAGAATGTCGTCAGCCTTTTTCACGGTTAGTTCACCTCCTTCAATCACCCCAAAGACAATTCTGTCTAGCTGTTGTTTCATTGAAAGATGACACCCTGGAGACATTTCTGAAATCACACCATCTATAAATTGTTAATAAATAAAGCTAGACTACTGTCGGTTGCACTGCCAGAGCACTGGACGTAGCTACATGAAGCAGTGGCCGTTTGTGAGACAATATAGTTACACTACTCTGTAACTGCGGTGGTCCCTACTTCTGTGACGACAACTGAATTGTCGTTCTCATCGCCACTGCTCGTTAACTGATAATTTTTGATGAATTCAGTTTTAACTTCCGCAACCTTCCGTAATAAGTTGATCTGGGACAACCCATCAACCTCAGGTCTCTGGCGGCTTGAGCCCACCTTTTAGCAATTTTTTCAAGCTGTAAATTATTATTCTCAAAGAGACAATCAACTTAAGTTAGACTGATCAAAAGCAGTAATCGAAGTTCTGGACAATACAAATAACCAAGCTGTGTGGCGTGAGAATTTTGAAAAAGTGGTTTAAAGCCGACGACTCATTGTCTCGTGTCTTTCTGAGGTACTAAAACAAAACCTTAAATTCGGCAAACTATTCGTGGCCAAAAGTCATTATTTTATTAAAATTAATATTTCTTAGTTTTAATTTATTATTTAAAGGTTCAATGATGCAGTGATGATGGAATGTTATTCTCGAATAATGCGCAACGCATATTTTGGGGATTTACCCCATTCTATCTTGACATAACTTCTTGTGGGATCCATTCACGTGCAACCCGACTCCCAAACACATAATAATGGAGAAATAAAGGGTAATGCTAACAGTTAATATAAATCTTTCTACATAACCGCTTGACACCTATCATATTACTACAATTAGCAGTATTCGAACTAGTGTGCTAACTAAGAATTCCTGAATTAAAGCAGTTTTAGGCAGCTAGAACTAAATGAACTCTACTGAATATACTATATTTGGAAATCGTAGTAAGCATGCAATGGAGTGCAAATGAATCATCAGTTAGTACAAATGTCGAAACCGCAACAACCACAGTTGGGTTCCAAACTTGCATAAGCTATTGTATGTCCTCTTTAGGCTTATCACATGTCTGATCAGCTTGTGTTGGGTAGAGACTGTTGTTGATCTAGAGCGTATCTGGCCTATTTTCCCTAACATAAGGATCCAAGTTGTAAATAATAGCAATGAACTACAATAAAATTTCCCATTCCTAATAAACTTTGTCAGTCTTTTTATCTTTTCCAGGCATTCTGGAGAAGATATAAATGAATTGTAAGTACATGTTGAAATAAACTCGTACGAGCGCAAGGACACAAAACGGGGGAAATAAAAGAAAATAAACTGTAAAACATGTGATTTTAACATGCAACAGTGTAAAACGTTTTCGCACAATGATGTTTTGTGGTTGGTTTGGAAAAATACGAGCATATTATGGAAATTTATGTTTGGATTTGCTTTCCTCTGATACAATAATACAAACGAACAAGATAAAATAAAATGTTACGTTGTATCTTACGTGCAGTAAAGGCTTAACTGATTCGAAACACAGAACGCAGGGTATTAGACCGAGTGTCAGATACCACCGACGTTTCGTCGTGACTCTTGATTCTTGAGTGAGGTATCGTAATTGTGAGGCTCCTGGTGTTCAAAGACACGGGGTAAAAGTCTATATTATTAAAATCTCATCACAACTCATCATAGCACATCACAGTTCAAGAATCTTGGTTAATTGATTTACAGGACGATCGCTTAGTATCTCCATGTGATTTCAATATCTATTGTCAGAATTGATCAAGCAATAAAAAAAGAGGTGCGGCGGTGTAGCTACGTTTGTAAATATGAACTGGTGTCGATCTACTGTTGCATGTTTCAAGTTTTACCATGACTTTATCGACTGTCTAACTTTAATATAGCGTCCAAAACATTTGAACAAATACAAGTATGTTTATGCTACCAACATCTACGTGATTCCAGATTGCACATCATCTGCATTATCTGTTTTTGCTGATGAATTCACTAAATTTGTTGTTACTGCATTCAGTGGTTCACTTTCAATTGTATGTGACAATTTAAATTCATATGACTGTAGCTTTTTTTCGTCACTAGGCTACCAAGATGTAGTAGATTTTCCCACTAGTTTGGATGCCCATTCAGATCTCATTTTCATTGATGATGTGGGTTAATATGTGACTAGTAAACTTTGGTGTTGGTATAATCTAATGGTTCCTTTGTACTTGATGACTGCTTGAATTCAAATTCTAAATACATTACGTTTGTTCGTGCTCAATTATTACTTCTTGGTTAAATTGCATTATTTCTGGGATTCATAGTTTGTACTACAATTTAAATACTTCAAACCACTACTTAATCATGTTCCATTGTCTAGATTGGATCACCAAAATTTTCTATAGCGGCTTCCCCGAAATTGGGAAATTGATACTTTATTGGAGTTCTTAAACTAACGTCTCTGACTGTGAAGAAGGGTTACATGGAATCTAATCCCTAAGGGAACAGCATTTCCCTTAAGATTTTAGTTACAGCTTGTCGTCGAGTGCTCAATAGAGCGAACCCCGGTTCAAATTTACCTATTGACTTCCTCCAACATCATCTTATCTCAAAGTATTTGACTTTCAAAGTACATATCAACATCTTATATCACTAGACTTTTTTCAATTAGGTAAGAATTTCTAAGCTACTACACAATAGATTCATTTGTTGCCGTTTTTTCATTTGAGGTCACACGAAATGGAGGTTATTTTTCTGAAACAAAACAAATTTTGTAATCTATGTAAAACAACACACAAAATCACACGATCGCATTGCTGCTGATGAGATTCTAAAACTCTAAATTTAAACTGATTTCTGTGTTGATTAGAATTTTTAAATCACTGTTTTACTATGAACACTAATGTGTTGATGTTGGTGGATTTGTGTTATAAAAACAGGCTTGATGCTGAGCAGATCGTTATAGTGCAATTTTGTTTGAGTAGAATGGGTGAGGAAAGTGCTCTCATTATAGGCTTCACATTCGCCCATCTTAATCCACATGATTTCCTTATCTATGTTGACACCGGTGGTTCAACATAATCATGGAGCTAACCAGTGAGACTGACATCCTGATGTCTAGTTTCTGCAGTTTTCTGTACCACTTTATCAATACATTTGTTGAAGTATTTGAAATCGCTTGTTCCATGAGTTGCGGACAACTCACACTAACTCTGTGCCTACCACTATTTTTCCACTCTTAATAATGATGAGATTTCATGCTGAGGTGTACAGCTTGTTGAGGAGTCTCCAATCTGTTGAGACTGCTGTTTCCATCCCATAGTATAAATTCCAGCTGCCATTAGTAGATCATTTCAATTCGAATCACAATCCACGGTGTGCAATTCTAAATAAAAATACACGAAACAAAGAAATTTATTAATTTTCAAAGTATCTTTAATTGGTTTTCTTTCGATCTCTGCCATTACGGCTTGTATATTGTCTTTTGCTGTTGCCAGATTTTTATCAAAATATTAGATTCCTTAATTCATTTTCGTTTAATATCTTTATTGTTTTATCTTATACTTTGTCTCTACCGCATTCTCTTCACTTTATGTTTGTAGGTTACTATGTCAAATATACCCTGTAGTAATGTTGCTTATCCACGATTCATACAAAATATACGCGTTAAGTCGTTAGTAATAAATCTGTAATATATAGTCAATCCAACTTCAGTCTATTTTCACTTTCACAACAATTTCAACCATTATACTGTTTGAAAACAATGAAATCTTCATATACACAATAATAAATATACAGAAATCTGAGAAATAGGAAAATACATTCAGACATTTAAATGTGCCATCAAACAAAAATACATCTTATATACATCATTATGCACCTTGAACTTCCATTTCAATAAAGAGGGATTTCATCGAACACAATTGATGAAAAATGATAATCAGTATTTATATTGTGTTAAAATATTCTCACATAAATAATAAGATTGATTTAATCTCCTATTAACTGTTGATATCAATCAACAACATAATTACTTACTATACAAATAGTCTTTAAAGTCTCTTCTCAAATGCACAATTTCTATAATAATAATAATAATAATAATAATAATAATAATAATAATAATAATAATAATAATGGATTCGAATCTCGCGGGGCGGAGTCGTCGATGCGCACTGCTGAGGAGTCCCACAATAGGACGGAACGGCCGTCCAGTGTTTCCATTTTTTCCATAATGGTCTAGCTTCAATTGACTCATTATCTCCACGATTGAAAAAATAATAACATCAAAAGGTGTTTTGAACTTTGCTACTATCTTGTTTGATATTGTCTCAATCAGTAGATAAACACGTTTTTTGTATATATAGTAGTAGTTACATATATAGTAGTTAATTTCTCAGTAGTAATAAAATTGAAAGAGTCAACTTTCAAAGGAACCAATGAATACAGATTATGGAAGTAGAATAATAGTTAGCGAATCATCATAATCTATTATTAGTATAAATAAGATGAAAGAGTATTTTTAATCGAGAAATGTACAACATAATATTCGTTTATTTAGCTGTGAGTTTCGCGCTTATAAACGCTGCAGTAGGAAACTGTAAGTCAAAATAAATTGTTATCGAAATACGATTTAATATAATTCATGTTTAAAATAATATTATAACAGTCTAGTTCAATATTGAGACTCATTCAAACAATTTGTGATGTTATTTATTGTGATCATGAACCGACTGATGTTAGACCACCACTGAAAACCTGGAAGCACTGGACGGCCGTTTCGTCCCATTGTGCGCATCCACGATCCCGCTCACGGTATTCGAACCCAGGGCCTTCAGTGTCGGGCGCAAACGCTTAACCTACTGGGCCATTGATCCGGCATCCAATGGTGTTAATGTCTAATCTCAACCAATTTACCAAATTGCGCGACCATCTCCCATTGTACCGAAGTAGATAACTGCCTGTAATGTCATAGTTCCTTAGAAGACAAAACCAACATCCTGTTGTTTAGTACAAGGCACTAACAACCCTACTTGAAAATGGTGTTTCTGATTTATTTCCATATTCTTGTAGGTAGTAGAATATCTAGTTTGTGACGATTCAAAACCCAACGGATGTCTTACCAATTGATGAACTAGCTAAACATTGCTTCTTTTTAATAGATAGGTGCTGATGTGAAAATCCATACAAACTAGATTTCTTCGCAGTGGTAATGCAAACTAATGAACATGAGAGCTTTTAAACAGGATGAAACCCGTGTCTTGTCTTTAAATATTGACATAATTTGAAATCAAGACAAAACCATGTATCATTAGGTAATGAGAAACGATCGGTAAATGATCCTATGCTTCAATAATCATTAATCAGATGTACTAGAAAATATAGACAGTAATCTGGTATAAACCCACATAAAACTGTCGACATATTTCAATCAAATCATCTCATCAATGTCTTTTTCAAATAACATATGTTTTTCACTAAAAAACTCAACATTTCCATAATAAACAATGTAGAGTGGATAGCCGCTACAAGTTGATAAATAGACAGAATAGGTAAAAACAACACTGTCAGTGCTCTATGATCAGTGTCATGTTTTCTGAACATCTACTAACTTGATCGACATTTATATGATTATTCTGATACTACAAAATCAATGAATTACTATGTTGCTACAACTAATACAACGAAAATTAAGGAGCTTCCAAATATCTGGTGAATATATTTTAACGTTATTCTAATTAATCGAAATGAATCTCCGTTAGTCCTTAGTACTACTTATCAGTAGCGATATCACTCAGTCACTTCGTAAATTATTTTCCAAAATATACCAATGATGATAGACGATAGTGTAATTATAAGAATCAATGACTTACCATTGTTAACTAATATTTATGCTAAGAAATACAATTTATGTCTCAATAGCAATCAAATACAACCGTTTAAATTACTTTCAAAGTAATGCATGCTTCTAGATACACCGTTATATATGTATATCCTTATATCTTGCATTTTTAACAGCATTTGGAAATGATCGTAAGTTACCAGACAATGTTTTTTACCTATTTTGTTTTATAAATGATGCATGAATTGTGAAATCAGTCATTGTATTTCTTGTATTCTTATGAAAGTTATGTAACAGTACTAATGAGGAGGTATATTCACTAAATTTATCTTGAATTAGAGATGAATACATAGATATCCGCAAAAATTTGCTTCATCTAAGAATATGTGAAATTTCTTTGTCCTTGAGCGGTCTCTCTGATTTGCCACATTTCTGTGACAGGTTCTTCGTCATTTTATACAGTTCTTCCATATTTCCTTTTCTTCAAGCTTTTTCCGCTGTCGTTGCTTGTTTACTTCTGTGTATTGCTGGTTGACTTTCTCTGCGCTTTTTCGGCTGTTGTTAAGTGTTGTCTTTTGTTCTTCCTTTCTTGAATTTTGTGCAGGATTTCCGTAGAGATCTGTTCGTCATGATGATGCTTATTGCGGCCCAGAATCTCTTAACACGTTGAGGTTAATGATTTTTTGACCCCGTTCCAGTTATCCTTTATACTAGTTTCTCCTTCATTCAGTAGATCTTGTAGGGCTTAGAACCATGTGTTGAGAGTTATCTTGAATTTTTTGAGTTTGTCAGTATCTCAAAGGAAGACTGTATTAAAGATTTGTGTTGCAGTTTTCCCAGTTTTCCATTATTTCTTTAGCTTCAGTTTTAAATTGGCCACAACTAGGTGATAATCTGAAGCTATGTCAGCTTCTCTCTTGGTTCTCACATCTTTCATTGTCCTTCGGAACGTTTTATTGATGCAAATATGATCTATCTGGTTCTCTGTAGTGTGGCCCGGTGAGATCCATGTAGCCTTGTGTATGCGCTTGTATGGGGATATTGTACCAACTATAACCATTTTGTTGAATGGACTTAAATTTGCGAATCTCTCACCATTTTCGTTGCTTTCTCTCCGTCAATCTATGTTGTGCAATGATATATTCATGCCTGATGTTGTCCATTCTGACGTTGGCGTTCAGGTCTGCTATCAGGATGGTCAAGTCCTGAATACTTCGCTATGATCAGTTGCAACCTACCGTAGAACTGATCTTTGTCGTCGTTAGTGCTATAATTGGTGTGTGCATAACATTGGATAACATTTATTCTGATTTCCTCCTTTTTTATTTTGAATGATGCTTTGATAATCCTGGGTCCATGAGATTCCCATCATACAAGTGCATTTCGTGCTACTTTGGACAGCGTCACAGTAACTCCTTGAGTGTGTGGAGCACTGTCCTCTTCGTGACCGGAGTACATCAGCATCTCTCCCATATCTAGCCTTTGTTGTCCAGTTTGGGTCGGACGAGTTTCACTGATTCCCAGTACTGCCAATTTTTATCTCCTCAGTTCCGTCGCTATTTGACTGGTCTTCGCATCTCCCACACTGTCGTGACGTTTCATGTACCTATAAAAATTGTTGCTCTGGTTGTTAGAAGAGGCATTGGCCTCGTGACTTCCGAAGAATTTCGGCTTTCATCATGAAGCATCATAATTCTTCTGAATGAAGAATATTACAACTCTCAAGGTAGAGCATAAATGGTTTAGATTGTTTATTCTGGTTGACATTTTCTGACAAGGTTGCGTTCTGCGGGATGAGGTTGCCTACCCCATGCCCAGCCCTCCTCCTCTACCCGGTTTTCGGACCGGCAGTAACCCTAGAAGGACTGCAGGTGGAGTTGTTGTGAATTCTGTATCACATTTATTCCTGAATATATCCTGAGTGAGTGCTTAATATGAACAGTTGATCGATCTTTACCAATGCCTTTATTGCAAAAGTGGTACAACCACAAGTGAAAATATACATTCAAACATGGTGTGCATTCTACTAAGAAAAGTAGTAACCTTATTTGAGTATATAAGACACATTATTTTTAATCAATACTAGCTTAGTTTCAGCGAATGCATTTTGATATTTCCTACCTAGTTGATAAAGTCAGCTAATCACAATTGCCACTCCTTTTTAATGGCAATAACCATTCTGCTGTCCTTTAAACAGAAAGAAGTAATCAATTAGAATGCAGCAAATAATTACGAATACTCTGATACTAAAAACTCATTTTTGATAGGATTTTTCTACCCTAATCAATTCGAATGATAACATATTCTTCAATCATCTGTAAAACGTTTGACCGTTGAGAAATAGCTATTAGTATACTGTGTGTAGCAAGCGAAAAGTGGAGAGGTTAAGAAATAAGCAGACGAGTTTATTTCAGAGTGAACTATAAATTGTCAAAATGTTAATGAAACGTTCTTAAGATGATCACGTTGATCCTACATATACACTGTAACTTTGTTTGTTTGTTTTTCGTAATATTTATGATACCTACGCAAATTGTATTTTAACTGTTCGGGCTTAAATGTTTAGTGTAAGACAGTAATATTCTAACATTTTAAAACCCTATATTCTATGGAATGTTTACATTTACTGAAATTTATCATCCATATATAACAGTTTCATTCTGATTATCTTACATCTGCGTTTGGCTCAGTTCAAGGTCACTAAAACAAATTCCTTTGAGCTAAGAATATAATTAACTTCTACCATAACTTTAATCACTAACGAAGTACCGAAATGTATTATAACAAGTGGTAATAGCAGAAAATCACTCAACATTAAATAAGAATTTGGTTTTCATTCTTATTTCATATGTGCTTTTAACTGAAATTCTCTAATTAAAGCTGCTATATTAGGTAAGTTATTTAATAATACATTCCATCATTCACTTTAAAGGAATTTATAATTGAATGCAGAAATTTATTACTATAATGTGTTGTACTTTGTTTTTCTTGGAATTGATTTGATCAACTCAATAAGAATGTGCATTTTGAGATGGTGAAGAATATGCATTTTCTGATTTTTAAGTAGTACAAACTTTCAATAAACATATACTATCTAACTCTAATTGGTTATAAGACAAGTCTCTTATGTTATGATGTTACATTTCATCAATTTGTACAATCAATATATCAAATTTAAACAATGATTGTAGTCTACAGAGTGATGTTAAAAATTAATATCACAAAGGGTTTATGTAGATATTATAGTGATTTTAATAGTTGAAATAATGAGTCAATTGAAGCTAGATCACTAAGGGAAACTTGAGAGCACTGGACGGCTGTTTCGTCCTATTGTAGGATTCCTCAAAAGTGCAGTCTAGTGGTTAAGCGCTGGTGTGCGCGACTGATAGATCCTGGGTTCGAATTTCACGAGGGGAGGTCGTAGATACGCACTGCTGAGGAGTCCTAAAATAAGACGAAACGGCCGCCCTGTGTTTCAAATTTTTCCATGGTGATCTAGCTTCAATTGACTCATGATCTCAACAACTGACATGTTAGAAATTAACGAATTAACGTCAATTAATAATTGGTAATAAATAGGGGGGGGATGAAAAAAGTCTTAGTTAATGTCAATATCAAGTATATTTATTGTCTTATGTGAACATCTTATTCCATAGCTTTCAAAAAGAAAGTCATAAATGGTAAGTAATCGAATATAATTTGATGATATTTACAATCATTTATCAATCATTAAGATAATCACTTAAGAACATTTATGATCAATAACTGCAAAAGATAAGATCAACCAAATATTTATGAATGTAGTTGTACAGTCACATCAATTAAGTAATTGATATATTTGTTTTCTTTCATGAATCCTATGAAGTTATTGCTTAAAGTTCGTTTGAATTTGACTCTCATCAAGATAAGCTCCTTCCGGTTTTCATGTCGTATATTTCTGTTTAAAAATGATAATACAATAAATAACACAACATGTTAACTCATACAAATGGATACTCAGCTGTTCTCAACTAATTAGTTCGCGCATTTCACACTGGTGAAAGCAATCTATTGTACCAAAATCACTATTCAGTTTCCGATCTTACATTAGAATCCCCATTAGACTTTCACTGGTTGACTAATGATTAACGAAATCCATGGGTTCTGAAAGTTTTGTCTTTATAATATTGTCCATTCGTTTATGAGTGTTTCCGCTGTACCATTTTACCACTTAGAACTGAAGGTGACAGGTCTATTTTGTCATATGTCAATCCAGAACGGATAGTCTCATTATTAACCTTAAGTCACAAAGATTTCATAGCAAAGTTAGCGTACAAATTAAATCAAACTTCACTCACACTGCCTAAATCGGTGTTTATTTTGTGTATATACACCAACTGTAACTAAACCATTATTCTGCTACCAATACTACTAATATCCCTATTATGTAAATGTGAGATAATCTTGAAAATTTCAACCGCATTTATTTCTACATTTACCCAACTATTTGAAACAGGAGACTGCAAGCACTGATGGATGGTGACTAGCAATGGAATTCAGGATGTATGTTTCGTCATATTTTGGATTCGTCAGCTGGATGTACCTGCATCCCAGAGTTGATGTTCACTTCGAGTCCTAAATAAGATAAAACGCGCGTCCTGGATTCCACTGCTAGCTACCATTCATATTTGCTTATAATGCTTGTGACTTAAGGCAATATCGAAGCTATACGCACAGTATGCTCATATGCTAATAAGAGACTGATCAATTGCAGTCCTAAATATCAATGAGAAGATTCAAGCAAACAATACCAAGTAAATTTAGAAGACTGCTAGGTATCAATTGCTATTTTTCAGTTGTGAGATATTCAATAACACTCTTGTAACTATTATAATAGTTCACTAAGTACATTTTTTTAGAACTTAAGGATTATAGTAAGTCATCAAATTATATTCTCTACGTATTTCATATTTGTAACAGTACATGTATCATTATGTTTCTCATTGTCCTATAAGAATTTATCTGAAAGTAGCCGCAAAACTGTTCATTTGCCACATTTAAAATACACCTACTCTACCTAGGAATATGTGATCCATAAATCTGACAGTAAAACTCTCAAATTTGAGACAACTGAGATAGATTGAATAGTTGAAAACTGTTGTATATTTTTAGTATTTAATTGATTGATGAGAGTATTTTACTCTGCACATTGTATGAATTTCTAGATTAGACTAACAAAAGGGAAACAATCAATATCTTAAACAATACCATGTGTCAAATGGATGCCACAGAAGTAAATTGTCCCAGATCTCAATCGCTTAGTTGGTACATTTCAGAACAATGACAACAATTTATTGAGTCAAACCATTAACTAAATACCACTTTCAAATGATAATCCAAACACACAAGACAAATCTAGTTATTACAATTATTCCAGAGAAATAGTAAAACATACACAGCTCTAAAGGAAACAATAACTTAATGAGATATTAGACCTCATTCATTCGTGATCAAATAAATCAACATAATCCATTATAAATCTTATCACGAAGATATCTAATATTGTGTATGGTGTATTGTACATCCTAATCGAACGAGTAAACCGATATTCAACACAAAAGCTGATTTATGGCATCGAGCTCAATACTCTTCGAAATAGATCTAATATTTCAAAATAGGCTTACACTTTCTATCAACCGGTGTCATTCAGTCAATAATTTTACTATGAAGTAATTATTGACATTAACAGCTTGTTTTCACAATATGAATCATAATCATAGAAAGAACATACATCATTAGTAAATAATTTCAAAATACATGATTGTCCAGAATTGTAACTTGATTGAAATTGTTTAATCTTTCTAATACTTCGAAATACTTCTTCAAGCTAATATTCAACCACGTAAGTCATGAGGGTCTCTCAATAATCTGTACTACTTATGTTATGACTTAAACATCATATGAAATTGTCATATAGAACACTGATATTGAATGTCTTCTTATAACTTTGCTTTAATCATCATAGTTACAATACTCTTCTATAAAACATATTATGATATACAAGAACTTTTGTTTAAATTTGATCGAATAATTCCACAGTATTTGGGTACCGAGTTAATGTGAGACATTAAAGAGGAAGAATATATTTGTAGAATCTCAGCGAATGAATTTGAAGTAAATCCAACGTTTCCGCCTAGTAATCTCGTTAAAAATTATTCGGTTCACTGTATACTGAATAAGTCATCCAATCAATGTTAACAATGTTTACAGTTCTTCTCACTGACGTATACACACAATCTGTTATCTCAACACTTTTTCGTTACACACCACATGTCTCTTACACACTAATGTAAATACCTACTTTAAACATTGTTAACATTGATTGGATGACTTATTCAGTATACAGTGAACCGAAGAACCATCTACCTACTTATATTCGATAATTTTGAACTAGATTACTAGGCGGAAACGTTGGATTTACTTCAAATTCTTTCGCTGAGATTTTACAAATACATTCTTCTTCTTTAATGTCATGCTATGATATATTCATAGAAATCGTACGGTACTTATGAACATGACATATAGAAATGTCTAACAATGTTGACAACAATATAAATAAATCAGTGTTTTTAATATGCAATTAGGATTTAGTCAGTTCACTGTCGATTCCTAATTAGCTAGTGATTACTTCTCATTTATATGTCAACAATTTACTACGTTGAAACTATTAACCGATTTCTGTTTTCAAGTAGAATATCCAATCATGTTTAAGTGATTAACTGTAACAGTGATTTATTCACTTATGTTATAATGCTCAGTTTTCTACGTTTACACGAATGAGAAGTTAATTTACCCTAGACGAATATTTAAACTAGATTCCTTCCCACTGTCTATTCTATAAGACTTCAACACAACTCAGATCAAGAACACATGATTGGCCTTGCTAGAACGAAATATATTTCCACACTAAAAACCAACAATAACAAGCGGATACAATCTAACAGCAACCAATAATCAGTTCATAATGATAATAATAATAAGGATAGGAGAATATATAACTCATCTAACGCCTGTTAGACTATATACAAGTCTGACTAAACAAACTACTAATCATTATCATTCTCTCCCATACATCAACTTGAATAAAACATTTCCAATTACAATTTGTTATACACTTCTTTGGTGAGTATTTTTTAAGAGTAAGCAATGATGATAACCTTATTATTTTAATTCAATTGTATTATACTTTAGTAATAGTATAGACGATTTTTGTTCTCCCCACTTTAGGTGTTCTGAAAATAATGGAAGATGTGATAAGTATGTTAAAATTTTTATGATCTGTAAAGGAAGACTTTACACCTTTTGAAATCTGTTTTGAATAATCTGACTAAAATCCAATTGCATCTCTGCTCATATCATTTGAAATGATTTCAATAATGTTTACTTCAAAATCACTCTAGTTTAGTTGTCACTGAATGTAAGAGAAAAATAGACTAGTGTTGTTACAGTAGTTTACTATAAGGACTGTCAACTGGTTGTACAAATTACGATTATCCTGCTAGTTTTCTATAATTAATAATATAAATCTGTGATCATGCTTACTTAATATATCAATAATGATTGGTAAATTCACTTGTTATTTAGGAGTGCAATTGATCAGTCTCATGTTGGCATATATGCATCTTGTGCGGATTGCCTCGAAATGACTTTAATTCACAAGCATTATATACAAAGATGGATAGTGGCTAGCAGAGGAATCCAGGACATGGATTTCGTCTTATCTGGGACTCGTCAGCTGGATGTACCCGCATCTCAGTGTTGATATTCGTTACGGGCCGTTCGCTTCAAACGTCATCGCATTATTCACTTAACTACTGAGTCACCTGCATGTGCAATGTAGTGAAGTTTAAATTCACTTAATGTTGTTTGAACGGTATCACGGTGTTCTACAATCGATCATGGTATTATCATAAAAGGGTTTTCATGAAGACGACATCAATATTGATTACTGAAACTATCAAGTTTTAATCTGATTTATTAAATTAACATTTTTATTGAATGTTTACAATTATCTACATTACAGAAAATGTTGAAGATAGTACAACTAATATTCGAGAAACTGAGAGAACATTACAAGCCAAAATAAGTAAGTGGATTATGGAGTAATTTGTAATTTTGAAAAAAAAATATGTTGTATACGAATAGGTTTATAAATCAACCTTTGCTCATCCACCCCCCTAAATACACTTTCATTGCATAGTACAATGAGATGGGTATAGTAACAAATTAGTATGTATATTTTATTTGCCTTGTCATTCTGAATGTTCTATTGAAATTCCCCTTTTCTAATAATCAGTCCAAAGAATTTCGAATAGAGTTCACTATTGGTATTTCTATCATAAAATTGAGTAGTTGAATGTTCTGAATTATATAAATCTTCCCATCAAGATTCAAATCAGGAGATTACATGAATGTAATTAGTCCAGTACGATTGAGCGATGATATCAATTGTATACACAAGATTCTTGGATCTGCTCTACTCTTTGTTTCTATCTTAAGTGATATGTATCACATAAATTTAACGAAGATGTCTACGGATGCCTTCTTAAATTGACGAATAATAAACTGATGAATATCAATCATACATCACTGACTAATTCTAATTAAACAACTACCAGAGACAAACATCCACGGAACTGCTATTTCGTTCTTGTATAAAAACTCTCAGTAGTCTATAAACATCACCCATTTCAATATCAAGACAAGGAGTGTATCCACTTTGCTCAAGAGTCTCATACTGATTACTTTCTAGTATAGAATGATTATCTGAATGAGATCAGTTCATGATGTAAACAATAAACTGTACAAACTTACAAACCTACTCTAATAATTATTTGGCTAAAACATTTTTTAAGAATAAAACTGAATACATTTTTTTCGTATTAATGTATGTCTGTTTGTTTTGGATAATCTTAGGCAGAATCTAGTGGAAAAACGCAGAACAATTAGACAATGTACGTGTATAATAAAAGATAATTGTCCACACACAAATCACATGATTGATTTTAGATGTGAGCTGTAAAAGTAAACACCAAGAAGCAGAATCTTTTCATGGATTTCTCAAAGGTTTTTACAGATATTATAAAATAAACTTTGTTTCTATGCAAATCTCATTACATACATAGATCATTACATTGATTGATTTCAGTCATTTTCTATTTTAATCCAATTGAATTAGATTTTAAGTTAATCCGCATGTTCATTACAATAATTTCTGAAAGTTGCATAAAATTGTAAAATTATAGTTGCCCTGATAACATTCCTGAATATCGATAATGCAATGAGAAGACGTAGTTTATCAGAATTATGTAATATATTTGCGCAATACATTTCGAACAATCTGATCACACATATACTTGTTAAGAACATTTATATATGAAAAATTAAAAGGTCAACTAGACAGGTTAAGGGTAAGTCATAACAAAGGAAAAATATTAAAGTACACAAAAACAAATGTGATTACCACTCTGGACAGTAAATCAGTACTACCAGGGTAGGTTAAGTGTAAGTACAAATTGTTTTTGAACACATAAAGGGGGTTTCAATTTTCGTATAGCCAAGGCTTCAATAAACCTTAGTATACGTCCTTGAAGGCTTTTGTACAACACAACAAATGCTGATTTGATATCAACCTTATGACCCGTCTCAATCAAATGTTTCGCAATGGATGATGATGTCTGTCTATCCTGTGATCTTATTTCACCATTGGAATTCATTTGATTTTGCAACCATTTTGATATATGCTCACCCACTCTTAATTGCAAATCACGATTGCTCCTCCCTACGTACGTGTTTCCACATATACATGTAAATTTGTAGACACAATGGGATGTGACACAATCGTTTTCATGCTGTTTGGGCCTTTGGTGAAACATAGACCTTGTCTTTTCGATAATGACAAGTTGGGCTGCTTGAGCATCTGGGCTACCTGTTCCTGCCATCTAGATATTTCAACAATTTATCTATTTTTGTTTGTTTTAATATATCATTATGTCTATTAATCGCACAACCTATTCTGCTGCGTTTCTGAAAAATGTACAACCTTTCGTTATCAAAGTTACAAAAAGCTCAAAAAGAGAGAATATGGTTGCTGGCAATATACAACGAAAAGAATGTACATCATTGCCATGTTCATTTATCGGACTGATAACATCTAGCCGGCGACCACTCAGTATTTATCGCGAGGACCGACCAAGAAGAAAGAAACGGAAACTTGTTGAAATACTTTGTGCTGAGAATTCTATATTGTACCAATAAAATAATATTGAATAAAGCTAATAATAATAATAATAATAATAATAATAATAATAAAATGTCCGGTTGATAGCTAATTTAAGTCTCTGTTTCAACATGAGACTGTTTGTGTCACCTCTGAATGGTAGCGTAATATAAACTCGCTTTTTGGGTGCCAGAAGCGTCATAGGTCTAGTCATATTGCAACACTTCCAGCGGTTTATGAACTTCAAAGGGTAATCAATAATGGTTACCCTATGTTTCACCAAAGGCCCAAACAGCATGAAAACGATTGTGTCACATCCCATTGTGTCTACAAATTTACATGTATGTGTGGAAACACGTACGTAGGGAGGAGCAATCGTGATTTGCAATTAAGGGTGGGTGAACATATACCAAAATGGTTGCAAAATCAAATGAATTCCAATGGTGAAATAAGATCACAGGATAGACAGACATCATCATCCATTGCGAAACATTTGATTGAGACGGGTCATAAGGTTGATATCAAATCAGCATTTGTTGTGTTGTACAAAAGCCTTCAAGGACGTATACTAAGGTTTATTGAAGCCTTGGCTATACGAAAATTGAAACCCCCTTTATGTGTTCAAAAACAATTTGTACTTACACTTAACCTACCCTGGTAGTACTGATTTACTGTCCAGAGTGGTAATCACATTTGTTTTTGTGTACTTTAATATTTTTCCTTTGTTATGACTTACCCTTAACCTGTCTAGTTGACCTTTTAATTTTTCATATATAAATGTTCTTAACAAGTTTATGTGTGATCAGATTGTTTGAAATGTATTGCGCAAATATATTACATAATTCTGATAAACTACGTCTTCTCATTGCATTATCGAAATTTATCAAAGGGACTAATTGTTTTAAATTCCTGAATATTTCAGATCATTTCAGCAAACAGTATTCAATTGAAAACATGTATACACCATGTTTCATATTGTAGTGAACACAACACGGGTGGAGACAATCGAATGCATTTAACACAAAATTACAGGACTGGTTAATAAAATCTAACAATCATAATGTAAATGCTTAATTTACAAAATGTCCACCAGTTGTCTCATAGTGACTCAGACTTCATTGTTCTTGCATTTTCATACAAATTGCGTCTTGTTTCCATTTTTTACTGTTCGATCGTCTTGTCTCTTTGCTGCCAGACTTTCTGTTCACAACTAACATCATATACTACTTATATTAATATAAGTAGCACACACCACAATATCATCCACATTCAACAATTAATCTCTTGTATATTATCACTACCGAGATGTAACCACATCATTTGAAATGAATGAAATAGTAGGCTTAAATAACATGACAGTTTCATGTTGGCGGTTATTTGTTTGCATATATTCATCTTACTATTCAGGATTATTTTAACTGAAGAGAGAGTCACTTACTTGTTGTAGAGTTGATTCCTACTCATTTGTAATTGGTCAGATATTCAATTGTCTACTTATTAGAATGTTTACTCATGTTATTGACAAGTATCTTGCTAACATAAAACGACAGTGAAGTTTAACTGCTCATACAAGAACTCCATCATTGTTGCACACTATATCATCGTTATTGTATCTTCTTTTATCTTCGCATTCACTTCGCAAGTTTGACAGAATAACGCAGAAACTCATCAAGTTCTTTTACTGTCGAAGGGTCCTTGGAATTTTTTTCCGTTTATATTCTTTTACCATTAATTTAGACTAAAGTTCGATATTGTTTTTGCTAGATGTCATCTTATTTAGTTAACATGCCAATGAAATGAATAACTATTTCTTTTCATTTAAATCTTTTAGAAATAGAAAAATCATGGGGATTCAGGATACTTATAACGTGTATGATTTCTTAGTTCGCATTATTATCCATATGATATGATATTATATACAATCTCACTATCGGAAACATTCTATTTACGACATTTATTCTTGTACAATTATCCTATTCATAAAGGTTGTGCAAAACTTTAAAGACGATATTGAACTTGCTTTTATGACAATGCTCTATTTGAATTGAAGTTAACTTTACAGTTGATTGTCATGATAATATATGTTTCGTATTGTGTTATGAAATTAATTTTGTCTACTTTCTTTGTATTTCATCAAAACAATAGTTGGTAATTTTCCAACTCTGCAGAATCACCTCGAAGAACAATTAAAGATATCAGAAAGTCAGTGGAAATATTCATGAACATTTAGCGATCTTAATAAAATATCCGTTATCATTAGGTGTGCCATTTTTCTTTCACTTCACTCAACTATTCTCCATCCAAATGAACAATTGATTAGTGCACTGTATCTTACACTTGTTGGTAGAAAATGCTGACAAAGATATTCGTGGAGAAAATACAGTTGTTCTCGAGTAGAAGCCTGCATTTTGACGAAATCCTCCCAATTTTCAAACAACGAGAAATGCGCTTCACTCATATGATTTTGAAATGGTGGAGAAGATTTGTAGCTCAGGTGGATGATGCTTGTAATAGAGTTTTGTTCTCTGAGCTGGATGGTTTAGTCGTGGAGCTTTCATCGTTCTTCTGAATGAATAAACAATCCAGATCCGAGAACTAAACTCCATCATAATAAAATATACATTTTTTGTTCGATTTAAGCGTGGTCATTACTCATTTGTAAATTAAAGAAATATAAATAACATCTCACCATAGACAAATTGGTAATGAATAAATTATAGATAAACACTCCAGTGTCCATATCTCAAAGACAAATAGTATTTATTGTTTCCTTGCTTTCTTGTAATCATTCCCTTCAGTTCAAATTCATAGTGAACAGTAATGAAAAATCTCACAGATAATTACGGCGATCACTTATATGAATATTTTATCATGAAAGTGTCTGGATAAATACAAACACAATAAAACAACCGATGTATAGTCGATTGATTACATATGATATTAGGAAGTATGGTTAACTAATCATTCAGATCAAGGTTTGAGATAGCATTAAATGGAATCATCGTTTATACGGCAGCTCCTTTGATATAGCGAAATGATCACCACTATGATACTGGCTAAGAACGTTTGAGTTCAATTCATAAAACACAGCACTTATACTGATGTATAATACTTAGTCACATTTGATAGACATTGATGGACAGATAAATTTTGTCGGATAGATAGATAGCTTTAAACAGGATAGAACGAATCAGATCATTAAACAATGCTTCTATGAATCAAAATAGCATAACGAATTCAACGTTTTATTTAAATCAACATTACAAAGTGAAATTATCGACTTGGAACTGTGGTGTGAGTTACTTATATCTACATAAGTAGTATACAACGATTGTCAGATAAAGGATGTATTTCAGTGTAAGGTCGAGAAGAAGAAAACGGAAACGAAGAGCAATTAGTATGAAAATGTATGAACAATGAAATCTGAAACGATGGACTGATATTTGCAAAAGAAACAATCAAGTTTAAGACAATTAATTGATATTTTGCAAATGAAGTATTTACTATCAGAATGTGTTTTGTGGAGATTTTTAGAAATTTTCACAGATTGAACTCATGAGTCAGTTGAAGCTAGACCACCATTGAAAACCTGGAAGCACTGGACGGCCGTTTCGTCCTAGTATGGGACTCCTCAGCAGTGCGCATCCACGACCCCGCACCACCCGGGGCTCATGAGTTCAATCTGTGAAAATTTCTAAAAATCTCCACAAAACACATTCTGATAATAACAATCACCTGCTCACTAGTGACTGACTTCGGGAGACACTTCTGGAGTTCTAGTGAGAAGTCGTTACCAGTGGAGTTCAACCAGGTCTGTTGTGAGATAGGAACTCACTGAAGACAATGGTGTACGGTAGCGCAACTTCGTGGATTGGTTGAAGTTAGACATTAACACCGTTGGATGCCGGCTCAGTGGTCTAAGGGTTAAGTGCTCGCGCGCGAAGCCAGTAGGTCCTGGGTTCGAGCCCCGGGTGGTGCGGTGTCGTGGATGCGCACTGCTGAGGAGTCCCATACTAGGACGAAACGGCCGTCCAGTGCTTCCAGGTTTTCAATGGTGGTCTAGCTTCAACTGACTCATGAGTTCAATCTGTGAAGTATTTACTATTTGGTTGTCAGATTTTAGTGAGATGTTCTGTAATCTTGTGCTCAAATACGTTCGATTGTCCCCACTTATGTTCTTCTTCACTACAAAACCAATAATATAGAAAACACTTAATTGTTACAATAAAATTTAAGAAAATGAACCATTCCTATTTACACAGTCTTCTGTTTACACTCAGTTGTTGGCTAAGACTACTGAAAGATTCAACTTATTTTATTTATTTATTTAAACACATAGATATTGGTACAAGGAAGCACCAAATACATATGCGCCACACAAATCTCATTCGATATGTGTGAGGGCTGTGATGCTGCCCGGGTGCCCAAACCGAAGCAGGTGGTTTTCTTAGTTGGCCACTCCTCGAGCCTTCGACCTGAAGGTCTGATCCACAAGGCAGTGGAGCATCGTAAGGAGATGCAGTCCCATGGAAGCCGGTGACCAACAATTGGTTCATACGCCATTTGTTCTCGCAGGATACTGGAGCCCATGTGCACCATTGGTTTGGGATCCGGTTAAAGCGCCGGATGTTCGCTTTTCGTCCTCTTATTTTCGCAAACAACACCACGCCACGATAAGGCAGTGAGTGGGACTTCCCTGGCAGAGGCTATATACACGTGGCCATGTGAGAGCATTTCGAGAGGGAGAGCGGACTCTTCCCACTTTCGGCCGTACCAGGGCACCTGATAACTTTTCTAGTTCAATCAATATTGTAATGTTTTACAAGCAAAATAGTATTTTTGATCATTTATGACATCAGGGATGTATATCTAGTCAGACATTTGGTAACCAAGACGAATTTTCACAGTTTTTATCCGCTTTAAATATTGATGTTCACTGGTCGCATAGTTGATCAATTTTAAAAGCGTTGTCAAGTGAAGTAATTTTTTTGTAAAAAAAACAATGTTATTTACAGATATGAAGTCTAATAACAATGAAGAAAAGTGCAATCAATTTAAAACATTCCCTGAAGAAGGTAAACAGAAATAAATGATCTTTATTATATATCAGTATGAAAAGTATGAGGTTGTGCAGATGGTTGAATTTCATTGGAATAAAAAAAACTCTTCTAAGTTTGATAACTATCGAAAACCGGCAAGTACTTGACAGATGTTAAGCCATAGTATGGGACTTCACAATAATGCTCATGTATGACATCGTAAATGAGAATCAAACATATCTAATGCTTTCAGTTTATCAATAGTTGCCTAAATTTGATTGGTTCGCGATTTTAATGAAATGATTATCTGTCTACTACCTTCGTTTATTAATAAATTCTTTGAATGATTCTTGCAACAAAAGGGTAACACTGATAAGCTCATTGAATTACTCAGATGAAAACATCATATTTTCCAAAAGTTTAATGCTTTTTGATCGTTTGATCAATTTCAACAAATCAAACAGAACATGATTTGCAAAATGAACTGAACTCATACAATTTCAAGAAATGTCTTCCATTACAATTGGCCTAAAGTGACATCTGTAATGTTACTTTATGCAAAGTTTGAAACAATACTGAACTGAACTTCATCAGCTTATGGAAGTCTAGACACGCCATGAATTCACGATATTCTTCTCGGTTGATGACAATTTTACAAATGTGTTTTGAATGTTTATAATTGGGTTTAAATTATTCTCCATCGTCCTAAAGTCTTAGATGATCTGGCTCTTCTATCACACACGCAACAAAAAATTCAGAAGAAGACCAGTGTAGCAGCAGCCTCAGCAGCAGTAGGTCTCAATATTAACAAAGGGAAAAACAAGATTCTCCGATACAACACAACATGCACCAATCGAATCACACTTCACGGAGAAGATTTGGAAGATGTAAAAGCCTTTATATATCTGGGCAGCATCGTTGATGAACACGGTATATCTGATGCAGATGTGAAGGCGTGGATCGGCAAAGCAAGAGCAGCATATGTAGAATTGAAGAACATCCGGAACTCAAAACAACTGACAACCAACATCAAAGTCACAATTTTCAATACAAATGTCAAAACGGTTCTTCTGTTTGGGGCAGAAACTTGGAGAACTACGAAAGCCAGCATTCAGAAGATACAAGTGTTTATTAACAGTTGTCTACGCAAAATACTTCGGATTCGTTGGCCAGGCACTATCAGTTACAACCTACTATGGGAGAGAACAAACTAGATTCCAGTGGAGGAAGAAGCGCTGGAAATGGATAGGACACACATTGAGGAGATCACCCAACTTCGTCATAAGACAAGCCCTCACATGGAATCTCCAAGGCCAAAGGAGAAGAGGAAGAACAAAGAACACATTACGCTGGGAAACGGAGATAGACATGAGAAAAATGAACGAGAATTGTATGGAAGTAGAGAGGAAGGCCCAGGACAGAGTGGGTTGGAAAATGCTGGTTGACGGGGTAACAGGCGTAAGTAGGTAATGCTAAAGTCGGAGTTTGTACATAGTTTAGTGTATAAACGTATCAATATTACATGGACAACAGAACATCTAAGAAATTAACGACAACACGTTGATAATTCAAAACCCTGTTAACGTAATTCAAAGTCCTTGTACAAATCACACAAATTCATAAACTTCTGTTCATGTTCGATATTTAAATGGAAACAATAAGCTTCATCAATTAACCACAATTACGATGGCCTGCTATTCAAAATTTTGTTCTTAATATTGTCACTACTCATATCCTAATTCAAAAGTAATGATTTCTCTTTTATGAAACATAATTGAAGAAAGCACATCATATCTATAAATAGATAGGGAAACAGTAACTTGATACTATCAAATGCAGTGGATAATTATTTTTAAAGTTATTGATTTGAATACTTTATATCCATTGTCAAACTGACAATGGATGATAAGTTAAGATGAATTTTGTATAATACTTCTTAAATTGACAAATAACTTTCTTTCCCTCTCTTCAGATATTAAGGATCTAGATGAATTGATTGCTAAAAAATACATGAATATAAAGTCGTTTAACAATGGACTATGTAAGTAAAAGTCACACAACATTGTATGTTTTTAGCAGTGGAATCCAGGACGCGCGTTTCGTCCTATTTGGGATTCGTCAGTTAGATGTACCTGCATCCCAGTGTTGATGTTCACCCACATCAATAGGAGGAGTCAAGTAAACAATACCAAGTGAATTTAAACTTCACCGCATTGCAAAAGCATATTACTATCAGGACTCAGTAGCTAAGTGCATAACGTGATAGGGTTTGAAGCTGTCGGTACTGATTTCGAGCTCCAGAGTGAACATCAACTCTGAGATGCAGGTACATCCTGCGGACGAGTCCTGAATAGGACGAAACGCGCGTCCTGGATTCCTCTGCTAGCCACTATCCATATTTGAAATATAATGCTTGTGAATTAAGGCTATATCAAGGCAATGCCCTCAGTATGCACATATGCCAACATGAGACTGATCAATTTCAGTCCTAAATATCAATGGGAAGACTTAAACAAACAATATCAAGTGAATTTATTGTGTGTTTTTTACTAAAAATGTAACTGTTGAGATCACAAAGTGAAATATTCTGAATTCTTGTAATCATATACACACAAATAGTTCGTTTATTACCATATGAATCATGTAGTAGTAAAACGATGAATTGTGAGAACTTGGAAAAAAAATTAAAAAGGCGTTAATATGGTTTATTAAATTTGTGTAGACAGTTAACTACTTGGAGTTAACATCACTTCCAATAAAATGATAAATATTTTTTATTGAGATCATGAACCAATTGATGTTAGACTACCATCAAAAACCTGGAAGCACTGGACGACTATTTCGTCCTATTGTGAGACTCCTCCTCAGCAGTGGTCTAACATCTACCAGTTCATGATTTTAATCAAAAACATAATAATCTTCACAACCCTATAGTGAAAATGATAGATTAATAATAAATATTTATTTTATTGTACAAAATATTCACTTGAGTTTTCTCTGATATTTCAGTTATGCACGAATTCGCTGTGAGAAATGTTGATGAATTAATATCTTTAGCAAAGAAAATTGGTGGTAATGCAAATGAGATTTTCTCTCTACTTCATCTTAATAATCAATTATTTTGTGCTATTTTATGTTCATCTTTATGTCAAGTATTGTAATATGATATTATTCGAGAATGACTTATTGTATTTAGACTTGTCTTGAGAATACAACGAATGCAACATATTTAATAGTTATTAAAACAATTGATCATGTCAGATTCAATAAAGTTACTGTTAGATTAATACTTGTAGTCAATGAATATATTTTAAGTTGGTTGACGGATAAGATGAAAGACAACAAATCTTTCAGTTGTTATAAACTCTATAATGACTGATAGATTAACTATGTATTCAATGATATGTGGTACTCAATATCCATTGGCCGGATACCATCAGCAACAACCTCTCTGTGAGAGAGAACAAACTAGCTTCCAACTCAAGAGGAAATTAGGAAAAGACGATGGAAATAGATAGGATATAGATGATTGAAATCACCAAACTGCATCACGAAACAAGTGTTGACTTGAAATGCTGAAGGGAAGTGGAAAAGTGGAAGGCCAAAGAACACATTACGTCGAGAAATAGAAGTAGATATGAAAAGAATGAATAACAACTGGAAAGAACTGGAAAGGATTGCTGATGACAGGGTTGGATGGGGAATGCTGGTGAGCGGCCTATGCTCCTTCACAAGGAGTAACAGGCGTAAGTAAGTGAGTAAGTAAGTAAGTCAATGATATGTCTTCTGATTGAACGCTACTTGTTAGATATGATCATTACTGATTATTATATCGGAATTGCTTATCACTTATACTCAAAAATAAGGAATTACTGCAATTCCAACGATGAAGATTTCTTAACACTAGATAAAATCAAATATATGTAAAGTATTTAGATTTATAAGATAATCATATGCTACATATCATACTGAGCATAGTCCATGTTCATTAAATACAAGAATATCGTATGTTATACTGAATAGAATATCATACTGAAAAAAACAGAAACAAACACTAGATGATTATTATATTAAGTAAAAGAATATCATATTTGGTATAAGTTAGACATTGGCCGGCAGGCTCAGTGGTCTAGTTGGTTAAGCGCCTGGTGTGAGACCGGTAGGTCCTGGGTCCGAATCTCGCGGAGGGCGGGGTCGTGGATGGGCACTGCTGAAGAGTCCCATACTGGAACGAAACAGCCGTCCAGTGCTTCCATGTTTTCCATGGTGGTCTAGCTTCAATTGACTCATGATTTCAACCAGTGAAATATCATATTTACCTTTACATATTGTTATATTAATCAACCTATTAAATGTGTACAATAATTGGAAATTTCTTTCTTTTCAATTTCAGCTATACTAAAATTTTAAACAAAATCATGTTTGATAGTGTTCATTACATTGTAATAATCATATTAGTTTAGAAATGTATTTTTTTTAGAAGATTATTGCATAACTGCATTGACATTTAATTGGTTACTTTATGAATAAAGTTGAAATTTAAAGAAAAAAAGTAGATTAGTCTGATAAATCTTGTTTTATTCTGTTAAAAGTATTTTGAAAATAGTCATCATAGGTGTCTTCAAAGGATTGCTCGTATATCTTGGGATCACCAAGTAAGTAATGCAGATGTTAGGAAACAGGTACTAGGTAAGGTTAGCAAATCAATTGATGAAGTAGTGAAACTTCACCAGTTGAGATGGCTTGGACATGTGTTAGGTATGCCCAAACACCGACTGCCCCGACGTGCGATGTTTTATGGTGTACGAGTAGGTTAGAAGAAAGCCAGGGGTAGCCAGGTCAAAACATGGCACAAATCCATGAAGTCATTGACAAGTGAAATGTGCCATGTTAGTAAGTGTAGACTACCTGGTTGGGATCCGCAAGACGAAATCAACCGATGGTTAGAGACCTTGAATGATATGACTCAAAATCGTTTGCAATGGCGCAGGTGCATCCACTCTTTGTGTTCTCTCAAATTCTAATCTTCTGAATTCTTTGTATCCTTTTTTTTTCTCTTTCTGAATTTATTTCACTGGACAACACTTTTTGAATAACATTTTCAAACCCTCATCTTTCCGATTACTGCCTGAACTTTTACTACCTCTACCACTACGGGATTTGAATCGACAATTGTATCCATGTGCTAATATGGTATGACAACTCGAACTGATGTACGTACGTACGAAGTTCTGCGTTGTTGCTGATTGACTAAATAAACGTGGACGAAGCTGTTTCATACCAAGCTGCCAAGCCATATTAGCATGATAATTTGAAATGACGATAAGAAATATAGAATCCTTAGGTGTTTTAACAAGTCTCTGTGAACACAGGATCTAGAGAACAATAAAATGTGAAAGTATCTTTCAATTGTGATCGATTCTAAATCACGTCATTCAACATCTCCATAGTTGACGACCATAGTCCAGACGATCTTAATCGTTATCAGTTTCCCTACAGACTACTTCTACATCGGTCAGTATCATGCATCTAACTTGACGGTGGTTTGACTAGTGTGATACCAGTCCGAAACACTTTATTTGTGAGGATCCAGTCTCATAAACCAAATTACGGAGTTTCTGAAAAGGCTTTTAAATAAACTCAATATTGTTCACTTAGTGATTCCACAATGAGTCGCCTAAACAAGGCTTTTATCGTAACTCTAGGTTATCAAGAGACCCTGTATTATGTCACCATTCACACTCAACATATATGTGTGATCTGCATATATTAAGTCGAGAAACGAATCTATAATTAAGAGATCAGTCATTGCAAAGATGAACAGAGTATGACCTGTAAAAGGACGTTCATAGTAAAAGTAAATCAAAAGTCTGATTTTAAGGAACTGATAAACAGTATATATGAACCCAGAAACTAAGGGTTCATAGCTTAAAGTAGAACACACGGAATCAGAAACAACTAAATCAATTGACATTATAATGAAACGCGATGTTTGAATAAGGTTTAGAGTAGTTAACAAATATTTACTGAAATCTTGAGGAGAAATACTATCGGAATCGTTGACATACAACTGATGAACATAAAAAATGCCTTCTTTTAAATATCATATACTTACGTTATGCAAACAGTATGTTAAACTGGAACAACATTATGTTCTCCATACATTTAGTCTCATGTAAATTAACATTTAATGAGCCACAATCACTTATTCCTGAATATTTATTATTTTACCGTAAACTTTTTAAAAAAATATGTCAGAAACTTCAACCGCCGGTATGACAGTCCCAATGAAACAACAAAACATGTCTGTTAAAAATGGTTCCTTTCTTGTTGCTGATGTTTACCATTTAAGTCTCCCAGCATAATCGAGTATGGCTTTCAACTTGAATTTTACCCTATACTAGAAGTAGCCACTTTCGGCTGTAGATTACATCATATTTCAAACACTTCGCCATGATATACTCTAAGTGACCGAATTCGTATAGATATTCCTCACTGTTAACTAGGTAGTGTTCGTTTGTTCTCATTGGATACTCATTTTATTGATAACTAATTTAATTGTAATGCCGATACGGACAATCAGTGATATAGTCTTAAGCAACTTGAAACCAACACGCAACTTCCAATCATTGTATTTAAACCGAAGTATCATTGACTGTTGAATGATAAAATTTCACGTATTAAGATTGTTACTACATTGAATATCGTCTATCGGATCCTCAAGAGTTAATGACATGTCTGATTTCATGTGCCAAAAACTAGAGTAGAAATTCAGCTGATTGTTGCACATCACAAGTAAGATTAGGTTATTTGACTTTTAATTATCTCAACAAACTCAGTTTTAAGCGTCCAAGTGTGTGGTCAAATGTGTCAGTAGCGGTATCATTAATGAGTCGTCAAACAATGAAGGACAGCTGTAACTAAGAATTAAAACCAACAACCACTTGACAGAAATTTCTTCAAAGCCAGCATACAGCTACAACGAAAATTACATTTCTGAAGATTAACATCAAGAATTCGACGGCACAATTCATACTCACTAAACTTCAGCTCTTTTAAAGGAACATGAGATCTCAAACAACTGTTATTACAGTCAAATCTATATTTCAATAGCTTTGTGGAGGTGCCACAAACAATGTTGGATAGAACTTGAAAATGACAACTGAGAAGTAATACTTATCGCTTGAAGTATTTCAATTGATGAGTCTAAAATTTAAGAATTTATCATAGGCACATATACTCGGACATTTCACCCAATCAACTGAAAGTACTTTAATTTCAGAAATGACTTAAGTCCTTCAGAAAATTGTATTACACATTTACGCGTCCGTCATGGATTCAATATAAAAGCTTGTGTACAGATATCTTCACAACAGATCATGAAATATATTATTGCATGTGTTAATGGTAAATTTCAGTTAATTTCCCTAGTAGATTATGCTTATTCGCACCTTATAAGTAACAATCAGTAACTTGAAGCTCTCATCATTTGAACAGCAGTATAGCATACTTAGTGTTCATGAACCCTGATTAGTAGTTCAATAATAAAATTTGTGGACTATTATACATGTGATCACAGCTTCAGCTTAAATGAGATTGAATGACAGCTGTCGCTGTTTACTTACAATAAAGAAGAATATCTCATAAAAAGGAACTTTCTTGCATTATCGGTTTTGACTGATGTAGATATTTCATTGATTGTTTTATAAAATTTCAAAATTATGTACAACCTTGAGTAACGTACACGGCTATAGAAACATCATAGTTCCAGCACTTCAGATATTAATGAAGGAGTTTGTCATTACATTTTTTGTCAATAATTCTTGTCTAGTTGGAATATAACAAGACAATTTCAGCAAAATCAATCAAATGATTAAAATCGTCTATTTTCCGAAATACTATGCCATTTTTATCTATGAATCTTTGTTGATGCTGACATGATATATCTTGATGAAGTAAAATTTCAACAACAAAAAAAATGCATCGAAATTTGACTTGGTGTTAGATATGGTTAGGCATTTCTACTGAAATGTGGCACATTGTCTATATACAAAGATGAAGTCTTAATTGAGAATCACTATACTCAATATTCTCAACTAAACTCTGAACTTGGCAGCCTGCTTGAACATCTGGGTTACATGTTCCTGTCATCTAGATATTT